CACGCATGTATCCCCTGACCCTTGCTCCCAGCAGTATCAGAGAGACATTCACACAGAGTTCTCTCGATCCGTCCACTGACCCGTGCTCACAACTGTATCACAGATGGGATGCATAGGGCCTCGCTCCACTACTCTCGACATGTGCAAAACAAGAGTGCATCTTCAGCTAGAACATGGAGAGATACACCGCCATGACTTTTGTCTTTTGTGCATGTCGAGACCAGTGGAGCGAGGCCCATAGTTAGGATCGATGTGCGTGTGCCACGTGTGCGTGTGAGCGTGTGCGCGTGCCTGTGTTTCAGCTCGCACGCACGCGCACGGGCGTCTGTCCGTGAGAAGGAGAAGAAAAAAACGAGCAGCCACGTTGTGCGTGTGTGGGGCTCGGTGAGAAAGGCAGCGTGTTCCACAGAGAGAGAGAGAGAGAGACAGGGCGAGAGAGAGAGAGAGAGAGAGAGAGAGAGAGAGAGAGAGAGAGAGAGAGAGCAGGAATAGAGAGATAAGGCGCTAAAGAGTGCAGCTTGTGGAAGAGGGAGCGGGACCTCGGGGGGCGGCGGGCGGGAAGGGAGGGGGAGCGCGCGGCTGACAAGGTGGATTGGATGTGAGCCGGCTGTCGAAGAGCAGGTAACATACGCATGGAACGTAGGAGGAGGATCTCAATCTGCGATGAACACTACTGGATTGTCAGAGGAAGAAGAGGAGGATTTTCAATCTGCAGAGATTTCGGGTATGGTGTTCGCAACTGCATGACACGCGTCTCCATTCTGTTTGCTTGCTTGCTTGACACGTGTCTACTTACCGTTCGCATGCCTGCTTGACACGTGTCTACTTTCCGGCCGCATGCTTGCTTGACACGTCTATCCTTTCATTTTGCTTGCTTGACACGTGTCTCCTTCCTGCTCGATTGCTTGACACGTCTCCTTTCTATTCGCTTGCTCTACGCGTGTCTTGAATGCATGACACGTGTTTGCATGCATGGTTGACACGTGTCTCCTTTCTGCTCGATTGCTTGACACGTGTCTCCTTTCTGTTTGCATGCATGACACGTTTTTGCATGCATGACACGTGTTTGCGTGCATGCATGACATGTGTTTGCATACGTGCCTGACACGTCTTTGCTTGTCTGACACGTCTTAGCGCGCATGACTCGTGTCTCATTTCTGTTCGCCTGATTGGCACGTGTTTGATTGCTTAACACGTGTTAGTTTGGGTTGATTGCCACGTGTCTGATTTTTGCTTGACACGTGTCACTTTGCTTGCCGCGTGTGTTAGTTTGCCTGCTTGACACGTGTTAGCTCCTTTCCTTCCTTCTTGACACGTGTTAGCTCCTTTCCTTCCTTCTTGACACGCGTTCGCTCCTTTCCTTCCTTCTTGAAACGCGTTAGCTCCGTTCCTTCCTTCTTGACACGTGTCATTTTTCTGTTTGCTTGCTTGACACGCGTCTCCTTCTTGTTTGTGTGCTTGACACAAGTTTGATTGCCGCGTGTGTCAGTTTGCCTGCTTGACAGGTGTTAGCTCCTTTCCTTCCTTCTTGACACGTGTCTTTTTTCTGTTTGCTTGCTTGCCACGTCTTCTTTCAGTTCGGGTGATTTGCTACCCGATTTCGGTCGACGCATTCCTCATCATGACTGTATCGAGTTGCAAACATGACTTGTATACATTGATGTTCATGACGATTATCAAACAATCAAACAATCAAACAATCAACTGAATCAATCAATAGATCAATCGATCAATCAATCCATCAATCAATCACTTAAGCAATCAATCCATTAAGCAATCAATTAAGCAATCAAGCAATCAATCAAGACACATCACCCGTCATCCAGCTGCAATTTGTTTATCATTCGATTAATCAATCGATCGATCGATTAATCAATCAATCGATTAATCAATCAATCGATCGATCGATTAATCAATCAATCAATCAATCACACAATTAACCATTCAAGCAATCGATCAATCATCAATCAATCAATCAATCTCTCTCTCTCTCTCTCTCTCTCTCTCTCTCTCTCTCTCTCTCTCTCTCTCTCTCTCTCTCTCTCTCTC